ACTTGTCCACGTTGAATGGTAGGGCGTTTTGAAGTGACCAGTTCGACCCTGTGTTAAGATCGCACTGGATCCGTTGGTGGTCGTCCGGTCCTGTGATCATTAGACATATTTTGATACCATCGGCGAAAAATAGAAAATCGGAAGCAATTGATCTTGCCAAATCCTTAATGAACACCAAGAATAGACGAGGTCCAAGCACCGAGCCTTGTGGTACACCACACACTACATCGATTGCATCGGACAATGACTCTCCGACTCTATATTTTAGCCGTAGTTCGTGCATAATGTTGCTAATGCACCTCAGGATTGGGTCACCAATGCCATAATTCCAAATATTCTAAAGAAGAATTCTATAATCTAAGCGATCAAAAGCTTTTAAGAAGTCCAGGTAGATGACATCGACTGCCACTCCATCATCAACAGCTTCAGTCCAGCTATTACGTGCAATTAATAGGTTAGTATTACAAGATGGCTTTTGACGAAAGCCATGTTGCTCTGGGGCTATTCAGTTGTGGCTTTCCGGGTACTTCATCAGTGCATCTGCGATGATTGATTCCATCATTTTGGATAGTACGGGAAGAAGTGTTATTGGACGGTAGTTGGCAGGATCAGTGCGGCTGCCTCCTTTATGAATAGGAGTGATGACCCCTCGCTTCCATACTGGTGGAATACGGTTCTCTTCTAGATGTCGCTGATAGAAAACAGCCAGTGGTTCTGCTAGATCACTAGCTACCGCCTGCTGAGCTTTTGGTCTGATGTTGTCAACTCCGGGAGAACTGTGGATACGCAAGGATAACAACGTGTTCAACATAGCTTCCGGCGTGGTGATATGGTCAAAACCCGACGGTGGAGTACTAGAAACGAGGAGAATATTTGGGCTCGTTACCTGCTGGAAAGTTTGGGAGTAATGCAGCCGTAGGAGACCGGCTGCTTCCATTGCTCATCGCGTACATCCATCAGCCGTGACTAGTGCTGGGATCCCCCGCTTCACCTTTCGAAGGCCGTTAACGTGCATGTACAGAAGTGTACGGTTCGTGCAGAATAGCTTCATTAACTGCTGATTCGTGACCCTGTCTTCGCGAAACAGTTCCACACAGAAGTTACGTTGTGTCACGTATGCAGTCCAGGTCTCAGCATTCGAGCAGTCCTGGTGATTTCGCCATGCCAAATCCCTCCGGGACATACATTTACGTGTTCTGCTCCTCAGAAATAACTTATGCTTGTTTTTGGGTTGGAAGGACTTCTGTTCCGATGTGTGGGCTACCAGTGTGCTAAACTTCCTTGTAATGGTTTCCCAGGCAACATCTGGGGGGCATTCGCTTAAGAAAGTCCAACATGGATCCTTAACCATCGTAGATAACACATTACAGTACGTGACAGTGTGCACTATATCATCCTCCATTTCAGGATCCTTCGCATAGCATATATAGTCAAAGAGTAGAGTGACATCGTCACTACGACCCAGTGGTGTGCTTGTAACTATCCCGTCAACCATGAGTTCTTCGATAGTGAACACAAAATCCAGAATCGACCGCTTGTTAGCAGTTCGAAATCCCGCGGGAAAGATTAGGTAGTTGTACAGAGGGCCTGATAGTAGAAATGTTCCACTGCAATGGGGGCGCCAGTGGAGAGAAAAATGGCATTCCAATCGGAGGACCGGATCTGCTTTCCGATATGTTCCCAGTCAATCCTTCGTATAGTATGCTGGGTAGGTGAGTAGAGTTTAGTATTCATTTCCAAGTAGGAGGTAAGGCGTAACATCTTGTGATCACTACTGGGAAGGTTGTCTAAGATGTCAGTTTATAGGTCGAGAATCCCCAAGTGAAGATTAACTCCAGTATGTTGGCAAACTTAGTTGGTCTGGTGACCCACTGACTCTAACCCCCAACCCTGATGGTTGATAATAAATATCTGTGTAATTATGTACATGTCTGTGGTGATCAAGTACTAGTTGGTACATTGAAATCGCCAGCGATTATCTTGAGACTTTGCGGTAATACTAATGCGAAATCAAACGCTGAGGATATAATTGCGATATCCCTGGCTGTCGCTTTCGGAGGCTTGTAGATGCAAACGAGACGTAGTATGGAAGAGGCTGCAGCGACTGATAGCCATAGAGATTCTGGTACATTGTTTAACTGTGGGTCGTCAATGAACTCCGTTCTGAAGTTCCGATAGAGATATACGGTGCACCCGTCTCCCTTCTTTGTGCTGCGATCCTTTCGAAATAGATAGTAGTTAGGAGTATTCAAAGTAGCATTTAACGTATCAAGGGAGCACCATGTTTCGTTGACGAAGATTGCATGTTGGCTGTTCAGCTGAGCAAGCATGCTTACAAGATGCAACTTGTTTTATGGATCTAGTGTTAATTAGTATAAGTAATAATGTGTTGTGCACAAAACGTTTTCTGTGAGTATTTCAAATGATTGGGAATCAGAAATGACAGGCAAAGAAGTTAACTAAGGGGGTAATAGAAGCACACCCATCGGTGGAATGCTCATCTGTAAGGGCATCGTTCGCGTTAGTAAATCTGGGTGGGCGGAAAAGATTGAGGTTCCGAGACAAGGTTGGGATTTATCTGATATTGAGCTAACTGTGACATGTGGGTGAACTGTCAGAAAAGCGGAACAAGTTAGACTGTCTCTGCTGGGTGTGTCAGTGGTGGGAATGGATACACAGCGATTTCCGCTTCCGCTAAAAAGGGGTCAGAGAAAATTGATGGATTCTGAGGTGCTGCACAGGTATGTCGCATGACAGGTGCTATTGTCAGATTTTCAATGTCTTTTTGATTTTCATTTCGCTGGCTACGGGTTGTTGCAGATGGGAGGCTGATAAATGGGCTAGTATGTTGGAAGTTGCTAATGTCCTTTCAAGTGATTGACTGTTGTTTGACATCCCCGGTGTGGCTGGGCTTGATGTGCGTGTTGACAAAGTGCCTACCTGTCTATTACCCACTACCTCGTCCATACTGGCTCTAGGAGACAGTTGGTCGTTGCTAGAGGAGGGTCCTTGCGGCCATGCTAGGCTCGAAGAGTGGTTCCATGCACTCAGTGTGGAGCGGACTACGGTCCAGTCACCGCCTTGTGTGCACTTGATTCCCCAAATGCAACGTGCTCGTGTTTGCCTATGAAGGAGTGTAGGCCGGCTCCTTTGACGAAACGTGGCTCCCATCCGCATGCCTCCCGGTCTTATTCCTTCGGGTTTACACTGGATATGGGGCGTGTGTTTGGAGCTGTGGTTGGTGCAACGCAAGCCACCCATGGTCCCTCTGTAGGCGCAGGCGTCCTGTGGCTGGCCACAGTGACAGGCAAATCCGAAACCGGATGCTGCCAACTATGTTGGAGGATGCTAGGTAGGTGTAGCCAGAAGATAATTGTTTCAAGTTCTGACAAGCTCGAAGTAGCGCGTAGCGCTGTGATGGCAAGGGAGTTGTTGACACGGAGCTTTGGGCGCTACCTAGTTCCTCATAGCCGCATTTCGTGTACATACCAGTCGACAATGGATTTGTGTTTACGACTTCAGCACGTAAATCTGGGGGAGCATCTCGACGTGTGTCCCTGTTTCCTGGTATTTATATTTAGTTCCCGACAGTCACTTGTTCGCCAAATCTAATATTTTCTGTAGTGACTAAAACGTTTGAGGTCGGAGCAACGAGGCCGCGGTCAGGACTACTGGTGTCTGTCAAGTTCGGTGATGCATGTGACTTATGTGTGAATAAAAGTTCGTGTAATCAGGTGTACCGCGAACTTGGCTGTGTGTACACATTACAGCCGTGTCCTTTTACCTGTCCGTGTTCTTACTTGCAATAAGCACATTTCTGTATGCAGTTTGCTCTCTCGCTCGGTAAACATCTGAATAACTGTGAGATGAACCGATTTTGATGAAACAGCTGATGGAGTGGCGTAACTGCGTGCAACTGAACTCCACCGTTTTGGCATATCCATGTCACCCCAACCCAACTTGTCTTCATGCGTGCTCCAAGTGAACCAGGCGAAAGTTATCCATCCCAATACCATCTGTTAGGCACCTTAACACAAGTGCAGTGTTTTCAGTTGGGCGACAATCAATATCGACCAGCTGAAAAGTGATTAAGACCTACTGGCTCCACACCTAGGACCTGGTAACCATGAGTTGATTACGTTAGTCTCGTGACATTTTTGTGACGGGGCGGTCAAAATGCGAGGATATTTGATGAGATCTTTCCCCTGGTTTGGTGGGACGCACCTAGAGCCATCGACTTAGTGGCCGCTGATACAAGGGCCGGAAATCCATTGCTCGCGGTCTGTCCGTTAATATCCGGTTGCCTTAGTTATTCGTAGGTCGCTAGCGCGCACTACCTTGCAGTCCAGAGGGTTGAATGAAACAGCGCGGAGTCCGTTGTTCTCCCTTCGGAACCAAGTCCGACTGTCTACCTTGCACCTGTTTTCATTAAACGCTCAGTTTTAATCCAGGTCAATAGATATACTGACACTCTAAGCACTATAATTTTTCATCAGCTTTCACCTAGCATACAACAAGCCAAGTGTACTTAAGTTTACGTAACACATGCCTTACATATACTATTTAGTAACATCCAAACAGGTTTAACATGGCTGCTTTCGGTTTAATATCACCCTGCGCTGCTTGTTGCATGGTGTACACACTTTCGCAAGTTGTATATCGTAACTGCTTCGGTTTTCTTGACGTATTCGCGCGCATTCACTCCAGTTTTTCATCCTGCCGTCAGTGAACCGGGAAGATCAATAATGTATATGATGATGTGGGTCTCGTGTTTTTCGCGTTGACTGGGACAAATTGTGAAGCGGTAACTTGCACATTTTGTTCAAGGATACTGGATGAGGACATTTTCTCAAGTGGCAACCGCAAACTAACGGTATTGTGCTTATGTTTATGAGCATAGCAGCACCCCGTAAGAAATAACATAGTTTCTCTGATTTGTTGCTTATTAACACCAAAATATCATTTTTTACTCATACCACCATCCTTTCCACCTAATTTAGTTGCACACGGTGGAAGAATTCTACAAGTGGGCAAACGATGTGCTCATTCGGGGACTTCGTGCCAAACGATGGTACAATAATGAACCGGCTCTGTATCAGAGGGGATTTCTGCAAGACAGAACGGATCGCATGATTGGGTATGGTCTTATGAGACAACTGCGAGTGAAACCAAGTAAGTCGACTGGCAAATGAACGGCATTCAACGACCAGATATGAGCAGAAATAGAACGCAGCGTGCGACATCTCAAAGTAGAATTACTGTTATGGTCCTTACATTTTGGGCAATTTCCCCCGTCTAAACCATGAGTTGCGAAACATGTTTTTTGCGCATACTGACATGGGATACTCACCAATGTTGCTTAATAAGCGGAATTTTAGGCTACAAATAACACCTTTCTCAGACCCCACTTAACCTTTGTCAGCACTACACCAGTTCACCGTACCGACACTCCGCTACCACTTGACCACCATCTATCGATCGTAGGTTCGGTGTACCCAAAGGTCGAGTGCTACCACGCTGATTTAATCCGATGACCTCAGGTCGACCACCAGCCGGCTAGCAGTGGTTATTTTCTTGCCCTTTAAGTCATTCTAACAGTGAGGTTATTACCTATTCATCCAATGCACTTATTGCAGAGGCATAATTGGCTACTTCAATCCTTGGAGCAATAGATTTGTTAGCAATGAATGTGCAGCTCATCATCATATCATCCGTCAGCCTTGGTTAGTAGGTTTGTTAGAGGCAAACCAGTATCCGGTTCCTGTCTGATCGGCGCTGCTTTGTTGACGCTATGGTTTGGAATGCACTCTGCTATTGAGTATGATCCGTGTCCGCAGACGTTAATCTGGTGCAAACGTGTTGTATACACAATAATCACTTTGACTATTCTAAGAGAGCACCTAGGTTCTACTGTGTGGACTCGTATTATGTCGAACGTGAAACGTATATGCCATATCCCAGTTAAGAGTACATTACCTGAAAAGCATCATCACTGATGACGATGGATATCTCATCAAATATATTGAACTGTGGAGTCGGAACGTTTACCAGGTCATTGTGAAATTAACTGAACTGTCCATCCACCAAATTTTCGATTTTGTAAAGGACGCAATGCCACCACAACTTGGTCTGTTTTATTACTTCCATAAACATACTGACATCTACCTCGGAGGTTCCGTCTGGCTACAGCCATGACTAGTCGTGCGATTGTAACGATGACGAATCATGAGCCGTATGCCGCTAGTCACACACGGTATGCGATACGATACTTTGCTACATACAGTAAAGCAAATCAATACCTTTTCCACGATTAACATGTTTAGCCTATCAACCAGGTTTGTTAAATGGCTTTAATCGTTCATAACGTACTACCCTGCCAACCGATACGCCAGCTAATCTGATTTAAATTGAACTTGTTCTCATTTCAGACTCATGCAATGTATACCATCTGGTGAAACCACTGATAAAAAACTGTTATGAGAGTTATGACATATTCAGTCAAGATGAGCAAAACTATGGCGTCGGATGGACCGAATTCAGTGGCGACAGCGAACAGAACAATTCGAGACCTGAATTTCAATACACCAGTGCGTCCAAGTTACAAGGAATTCCATTCCTGGGAGAGATGCACTGGTATTCCGGTGGGGGGTATGTTCACACGCTGCGTGGAACTGAAGAACGGATGCAGGAACAACTGAAGTTCCTGGAGTCTAATCAATGGATCGACTTCAGTACCAGGGCGATACTCATACAATTTACTATTTATAACCCAAATGTGAAGCTCTTCGCGATAGTAACCGCGCTAGTGGAAGTTCCCGGAGTCGGAATACTCATACCTACGTACCGCATTGAAACAGCCAACCTACTTGGGTCTATAGGTTCAAACGCTCCCGTGATTGAGATCGGTTTTCAGGTGAGCAAAGCAGCCGTTAAGTTGTATACAAGTTCTCCGTTTGGAAGCGTGATGAGCATAGTACCGGATGCTTATTTGAGATAGGTTCACTTTACGATAAGGTCTCTGCACCATCTGATCAACTGCACGGTATAACTTTCTCGTTAACTGCTGTTACGTGAAGCAGAATGCCGATTCAAGCTTTTCTTTAAACTAAAAGGCACTACTGCTTATAAACGGGTAGTGTATAAACCAACCAAATAGGCGGATAGAATTCATCACGTAGGTTCAAACGGCCACCAACATCCGTTTAAGACGGTCCAGTCGTCAGCATTGCGCACTGCAACCATCCCGCAGTCAGACTACTGATGGCCTATTCCACTTGGGGTTGAATGTCGGTGTCGAGTAATTGTGGAAGGATGGAATTGTCAGTTTCCAAACGCTCTGTGCAAACACCGATACGCTGTTTGCTCATTTCATAAGCTTTTCGGATTGTTTGGTGCAGCCTAGATAGTCCTGAACCAGCTTAAAATTCACGCGTCGTGGGTGCGTAAACGCGTGTCCTTGAATTACTTTGACTTTGACAATCCTGAGGCCACGCTCTTGAGCCTCATGCAAATGCCGCCTACAAGTCCGTTTACGCTATTCGACTGATGACCTATATGAAGCACTTTAATTTTTTTCTTGTTACACTGGAAAAGATCCCCTAGTGAGCGTACATGAATATTATCCAGATCACGTTGTGGGAAACTATTCTTTTTGCCTACCAAACCATCGCCGTCCCACAGCATCAACAGCGAGTAAAAGAAATTTGAGGCAGTAACACGTGCAAATTAATTGAAGCACACTAGGAATGAGTGCGACCGCAACACCAAGCCATGTGGGACCTCACATTCTATCCGTGACCAGTAGGAAATTGATTCGTGAACGCGTATGTACTGCTTTTGGTGGCCAAGTAAGTTGCCAGGTCACGAAATGGTAGGATCACTGATTTCAAGGCTTTGCGGCCTGTGAAACAGGGTGCTGTTGTGATCCAGGCCGTGGATTGCTTTGAGAGAGACTGAGTATTTGATGACAATGCTGATCCCAATATCGGCATCCTCCATCCGGCTGCCTCAAGCATTGATTAGATTGGTGGGGCACGAACAATTTTGATGGAAGCCAAGCTGCTACAGCCGATTAATTTTCGTGTTCCAGTAGTTATTCGATATTCCATATTTGTGTTCATCATACTAGGTGAAATTCACTGTGGATGGAGTGTGACTGAGCGTGACCATATGTTTATTACATGTAAGGCTGCTAGTCAAGACAAGTTTCAACTTACAGGCCACCAAAAGTCAACTTGTGGTTTATTTATTGGTGCTTGGTCATCAAGTAATTTGCACTAGGTTCCTGGATCAGCCTATTCAGCATGACAGAGCAAAATCATGGACGCGTAATCAGTTGATCAAACTCTCTGTCTTTCTTGAAAACATGTTTATGTGTTAATCTTAGCACCAATCTACTACGTCGTGAATTACTGTTACTCAGCAGGGCATCATTTTGATTTACTCTTAAACTCTCGCTTGCCGCCCTTTCGGTTCCTAGGTGATCTACGCATTCGCCCTGCTGTGTTATCTAATCAAGGAGATCAGAAATATACACCGACAGAAATGGACGTACTTCGGAGACTTTTGGAATTACAACGAAATTTTCATCATATCTGGTTCATTTGCTGCCATCGCTGCCTACGTCTACCTGATTGTCAGCACAAAAGAGGCCGTGGGTGAATTTTCACGCACCAACGGAAATGTGTTCACCAACTTCCAGCTACTGGCCTACTGGAACGAGACGCTAATCTATTTGTTGGCAGTGCTTTGTTCTTCCGCCACACTGAAGCTGATTCGACTGTTCCGCTTCAACCAACGTATCGGGCTACTGGGGTCCGTGTTGCGGTACGCTTCAAAAGAACTGAAATACTTTATGATTGTGTTCACAGCTACCTTCATGTCATTTGTTATGGTGTTCTACCTCTTGTACTCAAGCACCCTCGAAAGTTTTCGTACGGTCTTCATCGCTGTGGAGACGTGTATGCAAATCATCCTGGGTAAATTCGAATTCACCACAATGTACGAACGTGAAATGGTTCTCGGTCCGCTCATGTTTGCCACATTCAACCTCTGCATTATTTTCATTATGATAAGCATGTTTTTGGCTATAATGGATGATAGTTTTCAGCGGGTTATGAATGATATTAGACTGCAATCAGACGAATATGAAATGACTGCATTCATCTTGTCCCAACTGGTCTTGTGGTCTGGACTCGGTCGCACTCACTGGGGTCAAAAAGTGACCGAGCAAACGCAAAACAAACCGAAATCCGCGTGTCATCCAGATTCGGAACAAGAGCTTACTTATCAATTGAAACAACTGAACAACTTGATGGATGAATTCATCGGATTGGCGCAGTCACATTATATGGCTGGCTTGGAACCCATGCGGTCTGGTTAAAGAGGTCATAAGCTACATCGCACCAACTTCCCATTATAGAGATCATCCACATTCGTACTTCAGCTACATCACAACGTGCTCTCCTTGTTGTCCTATCATGGTGTTTACTCCTTGTTGCGTGGTTATTCTATACTTCTGGTCTGTCTGCTTACCTACGTCATAAACCATCTAATCAGACGTCATGAATTTTGCCTCCTAATGTACCGGGATTTCGGGGCCCCGTTTACATCTAGTATAAGGGATCAGCATTTGAATGGTAGTTATTGTTCAGGCTAGTTCACGAACACTTTTGATGACTTATAGTAGGTGCAGTCTGCATAATGCTTTGTGAGTTCCAGCGTACTTTACGCATGGAACATCCGTATACCACTCGTGCACCACAAAACGGGTTCCAACAACTGAAGAAGGTTTAAGGAGGGTAGCATCGGGAGCAAGAAGGCAAACGCTTGCTGTTGCTTGCGTAAGTAAGCAATAAAACAATGGATGGAGTGAAGAGCAAACGCTTGACAAATACTACAGGTGAAAAGAGTGAATTCAAAGTTAAACGTTTCGATGAAAGAAAGCGCTGTTGAACATGCCATGCACACACTTTGATTAATTTAATTTGTGGTCCATAAGCTTGACTTAAGGCAGGTCACATTTAAATTTGGGTGACGTATGGGTGGAAAAGATGACAGTCGAAGGGGCTTTTTACAATTGCTGCACATGAGACGAGCAATTTCCGGCGGTATTCTATCACAGGCTATAGTGAATTTTTTAGTGACTTCTCAGATTTGCATTGTGATTTCGGTTCAGTAAATAATAACATACGTGGCGAGGCCTCTGATGGTTTGTTATATTATCCGAATTGTCCATTACCAAATCCTTGGATCTTCAGTCTAAATTGGAAATACAGACGGAGAAAGCCATTAACACTTTTAATATCTATTAATTGCAAAGTCTCAATCATAGCGAGATCAGTTGCTTGCTAGAGTTGCCTATTCCATATGGAGACTTACGTAAGCGTCGAGCATGTACGAATAGAGAGTAGGGTTGGACTGCAAAAACACACCGCGCAAAACGCTTGGATCTTGACTAGGTTTCCTCAGAGCCTCTTTTGATCAACGAAGTGATGTGCTGCGAGCCGACACTCGTGGCTGCTGTGGTGGCTTACACTCAAATATCCGCGTGTGCCCGTGTTAACTTGTGAATCAGCAAAGTCGGCCACTCATGAGCTCTATCAAGCTGAACTCACCTTTCTAGGCGATCAGCTGGTGCCATTTTTAGCTAATCGTAACTTGAAACCATCAATGAAGAGCCTACAACCAAGGTTACTTTCACTCATGAAGTGACCTATAATAACCAAGATTAGTTGTAGCCATGGTATTCAGTCTTGTGGGCTGTCACGATGCTTTTCCTTCCGGTCAGACAAGGCGCTGCAAACAGGGTCGTGAATCCGACAGTTCTGAATCTGTGAAAATGAATACAGTGATCCGGACATCCAAGTACCTGCAGGAGCAATATTGGACAGTCTTTGGACCTTTTTCACCATCGACAGATGCAAAAGATTTGACAAGTGATATCAGAACGGTGGTAAGGAACGAGTAATTATGGTTCAAACGGTGCTTCTACACCATGACGTCTACACTACCCCGAATGAGTTAAACAATTTGCACACAACAATCGTTTTAAACATTGACTGAAGCTGGTCTAAACAACCAATGAACTAACATAGCCTACAAGCAGCTTACCCTTTCTATAGAATTGCCCGTGAAACTGCACATTTGGCTGTGAAAACTACCCTCCCCTCCTCTACTTTACTTTTGACTGTTCAGGGTTTCGCTGCCTAGAAAATATGAAACCGAGGTACAAATATTCGTATGTTTTGCATGTCCAGTGATCGGGCAGATGATTTGATGGAAAACGCATGATCCACAATTCTATTTTTCATCTTTTATTTTTGTTATCATATTTGAAGTCGCGTAAACCACAAGACTACATCTGTGTACAAATGATCGCCTCCGTTTAAGGGCTGTATACCATCAGGCGGTAGATATACGAATTAATTTATTTAAATACCTAATGCTGATTCGTTTGGTTGCAGACAATTTATATTGAAACCTAGGTTTACTTTAAAGTAGACCTGAATTATGCCTGACGATGCATTAGACCGTCTATATCTATTGATGTAATCCGCATTTAACGGGAAAAGCCTAAACGTCATCAAACAGTATGATCACCTGTCTTTCCCACAAACGTTGGTTGAATGTGCTTTCATCTCTACATAATGGGATCATTTGTGTTCCAAACCAGTCGTGGAGTGCAGTGTTTTCGGACGAGTAACACCTAATATCCAGCTACTCTCATCTCAGTTTATGCAAATATTTTGGTCATCCCACGGACGTTTGATTGAGTTGGCCATTCTCAATCTAACCTTCCCATGGCAATTAGTGGACATCGTCCATTTTACTCTTGGCAAAACTTTGTTGCGCTGGTTAGGCCGTGGTGCGCGCTGCAAGCTAGATTTAGTGGTCAATGGACACAGTTTAGGAAGATTCAATTTTCGTGAGGCTCCTTTGGGGGGCATATTGGAGAACACAAGGCGGCGCTGTGTAGTTCATCACAAGTTGGCGGTTGAGGCTGACATGACCACTGAAGTTTCAGGCTCGTAGAGAGCATTTTTGATCGTCTAGTCATAGCCGGCAATGACACGAAGCCTATCGAGAGGACATGAGCACCAACCGTTCCGGAAGCCTTCTCTTCGATTGAGTACTGGTCCGCGCCAGTCTTTGCCTCATTTTGAATTAACCAAAGGTGCAGATGTGGTTCAAGTGCTCTTAACGCATGTAACTGGGGAGATATATGTCCGAATATGCGTTGACGCACTATAAGTCACCACACAATGTGTGCATGGGAGCTCGAACTTCTGCATGAAATTCATAGAACCGCGGGACCTGTGTAGACATTTAAACATTCCAACTGGGTCCATTGTGTCAGTTCTGGCAACGGTTACTCTAGTTATCTGCATTTAAGCATGCGTAAAGAATAAAATAATCACGCTATATGTGGCTTGTGTTTGCAATTTGAACGGGACTCGATATATACCGTATCGGAAAGCGATCATGTGTGGTGCCGTCGTCCTGCAAACTGCATTTCTCATGGTGCCGCCAGTTGTACTCGGTCTCCATCAGGAAAACTTGGAGATGAGGCTAATGGACTCCTCGATGACTTGGAGATTCCAAACTCTCCAAATCTCGTATGTACAACTCAATGATTGCACAGAGAAACGCCCATGTTACTTCACCGACGTCTGACCAACCGTTGTTACCTGATCGTTCACTCCGGCATTGACTGGGAGGACCTGCATAGATGACCCTATTGTTCTCGAGAACTAAACAAACAGGTTGACCTGAATTTCAGGCAGAAAAGTGGCACAGAGCACGAAATCGATTACTAAGCAGTTTGTCGGAGTCCAACTAAATCTTCAGAAATGGGATTGTAAGGTGATGTTAAAGGAAGCGTGCATACTCTCGGAACACTCCACGCATACTTTGATCATCGTTAACCGAGCGCTGCCAATAGACATCGATCGGTGAACCATTAACAACACGCAGAATGTACCTGAGTTGCGAAGGCTCTATTTTCCTAACGATAAGGATAATACCAAACTCCGCCCCTAGGGCCAGGACTGAACCGAAGTAAGGGGGTTTATCAGTAGAGTAAAACATCTTTTCACTTTATCTAGTTTCCCCAGGACGCTAGGGCTGCACTCAAATATGACCCACTTAGTTTCCCAGTATCCTCGACCCCAACATAGCGTAGATCAACGAAAGCGGTACCTAGCATATTTTGATGGTGGTGGCCGCAAGTTTCTATAAATCTACAGCCGCGAGTCAGTGAGACACTGTCTGCTTTTGAAAGCCGACTAGTGCAGGGAGGCAATTTGAGCAAATAGAACCCGGTCAATAATCAATGGAATATTGCGAAGTGTCACGGAGGCGAAACACCTGACTACGATGGTGCACACTAGCGTGGAGAGATCGGCCAGATCACGTGAGCGGCTGACAGACTGGTTGTCATGGTCAAACCGGAAGCTGACGAAATCAGACCGTCAGCGCCGCACGTGTTGGTATGTCGCGGACGTGGTCCTACCTACAGTCAGCCAGTGATGGCGGCTGCCAGAGTCGAATCCGTTCAGACAAGAGATGTGAGTCACCTCAGTGATAGCAGCGAGGTAAGCGCATGTGACCTATAAAAATAGCCATGTTCTGTACCTAATATACTTCGGTCTAGCCGGCTCAGCGTTTTGTTTTTCCCGGCTGGTTGGTTGCGCAGACAGACAGAGAGGCAAAAGGGCAGCGTCACAACACGAAGAAAGACCTGGCTTCAATCGGTAGTCAGAGGTTTCAAAAAGCACACCGAAAGCAACAATATGCAGTGAGCAATCATTAGCAGTAGAATTGCCGATAAAATGTCTCCTTCTGAATCGTTCACATGTGGCTGTATACAAGCTACCTTTGGTTTTCCTATACAAAGAATTTAGGATAATGCGGTTTTCTTTACTGATACTCCTATGAGTCATTTATTATATAACATGATACAATGCGGTCAGTACACTGGCGACACGATCTTTGAACAAGGATAACGGTTTCAGGAGGGGAAATTCCATGTCGGTATCATGAAGCGAAAAGAAATTCCTTTGATATTTCATCCGGTTCTACTTTCCTACTGACTTGAGATGGTACCCTCCCAATCTTCTGTTACGACTGAACTTCAACAGGTGATAGCTCGAGTGAGTATGGTTGCTTAACATTTATTAAACCATGATAAGTTCACCACGCAAACCCTGACATCGCCTACTGAATCTCCCAGAAGGTTCATTCACTGTTCATATGACAATTATTATAAAGTTTTTACCTTTTTGCTGCCAGACTTTGTGGAATCTCCAGGACTGTGCAATCCTGTTTCTGCCATAGCTGCCACGCTTGGATTAAATATTCCAAATGCGGGCTTATGTCTGGAAATGCAGCTGGGAGATAATATATCAAGCTCCTTTGCTCACTTACAAAAGTGATTTGACTACACTTCAGGCTTATATATCCGGTTCTCTCAGCGCACGCGTCTCCCTTCCTTCAGGGACTGTGCGCGTTCCAATGGATGTCTCAGACCCTTCCATTGTCCAGTGAGGGCGCGCGG